TTCTCCCCTCTCCCCAACCCCCTCTCTTAATTCTTCTCTGACCCTCTAAAAAGGTACATATGAGAATATTATGAATTTTCTCTCCTCTTTTTCCTCTGTCCCGTTTGCAGGAAGAAGAACAAGCAGCAATAAAGCAGCTGAGAAAGAATATGGTGGTCAAAGCAAATCCTGTTCCCAGCTTTTATCGTGAAGGGCCTCCACCAAAGGTTGAGCTTAAAAAGGTAATGGAGAATTTCTCTTTTCTCCTTGTAGGTTTGGAAAAAACCACGGGATGAATGTTGTATTTCTTGGGGTTTGATCTAATTCAGTGAAACACGTGGGTTTTCTGAAAATTCCACACACATACCAAATGACCTTTGAGCTCCGTGATTCTGTGTTCAGCGTATGGGATAACGATAATATTAAATGTGAAGGATGATAGAAATGTTTGTTCTGCGGAATGTAGCTGAATTTATACCAAACCAAACCTTACTTTTTATTCTTTCTAGTTTGATTGGTGTTCCTCTTTACCCCATAATTTCTATCACTGACCGAAAATGATCGTGCAAGCTATTCAAGAAAACTTATTTTCGTTCTCAAATTTTTTCTTATTGTTTGTTTTTTTTTTTTGTTTTTTTTTCTATTTTCTTCGTTTTTTATAAGATTGACTGAATTCTCGTGTGAGCTATTCAAGAAAAACCTTCTTTTCGCAATTAACCCAAACTTCAGTTTCCACTATGCACTACCCCTGATTGACCTAAGGTGCGTGTGTGTTAGTCATAGTCAAATTTACGTGAAAGGGAAGAAAATGGATAAACGAAAAACTTAGGGCGTGCTTGGATACAAAATTTTTCTCTCAAAATGGATTTTTTGGTTGACCAGAGTAAAAAATGTAGTAAGGTTAATTGTTAGTGGAATTTTGAGTTAATATTAAAGTAATTTTTACACAATAATAATTAAAGTTGATTTGATATAAAAGTAGGAGAGATATGATGTGAAGTAATAGTTAGTTAAAATTATGTGACTAGATGAAAAATTGATTCAAGTTGATGTGATGTGTAAGAATGATTGATTGACATTATTTAATTATATTGATAATGTTGAGGAAAGTGGGGTTGAGTTAAAGTTGAGTTAGATTTTGAGTTGAATTGAGTATGAAATGAAAATATTTATATACAAGCCCTTATAAACAAACACTTTTTTAGTGTTTAACCAGATTTGGTGATATGCAGTTGCCAGTAACCCGCGCCAAATCCCCAAATTTGACGAGGAGAAAGAGCTGTGGTGATGCAGTGAAATCGTCTCCAGAGGACAAGGCAACGATCCGTGGACGTGCTACCCGTCACAGTGTGGGCCCGGGCCCGTTTAAGGAAGTCAAAGCCTCTCCCATTATTAAAAAGGGTTCTCCCATAACTCCCAAAAGCAAGGACCGTGCAAACGGGCCTAAGAAAGTCAAGAATCAACAACCCAAAAAAGACGCATCAGCCGAGAATTCTCCCTCACAAGTCAAGAATGAACAACCCGAAAAAGACACATCAGCCGAGAATTCTCTTGTGAGGGAGCCCGAAAATGGAGATATTCCCATTGTTGAGTCTTGAAATTGAATTTCTTTTGCTAGTCGTATCTGTTAATAGTTTCTGGCTTTAGCGTGGAAAAACCGAAAAAGACCCTGGGGTGTTTCTTTTATGATTGATGAGAAAAAAAAAAAAAGTATGTTTCTTTATCTTATGAAGGGGCAACTTTTTCGCCCGAAGGTAATGACTGAATTTATGCTGAGTACATAGCTTGTGTAATTTTTTTTCAACGGCTTTCGCGTATTGTTTCGAGGACTGCAATTTTCTGGTTGTTTTTCGGCATTAGGTATATTGTGCCGACTCTTGTGTCTGGTGGATGATATTTGTGGCAGTATTCTTGTATCTTGAAGAAATGACATCAGAAAAAATGGTATTTTGCAGGCTTTCTGCGTTCGACTTTTGTGTGGGTGTTGCGCTTTGGCTCGTTGGTTTACTTAAACGAGCCGAGACTGATTAATCATTTGCAAACACACATGAAACTGAGTTTCGAGGGATAAACAATTTAGCCAAATTAGACTGTGAACCATGCGTAAAGATATTGTTAGTGTTAAGAAGTGCTTGCTAAATTAGACTGCTAACCATGGATAAAGATACTGGTAGTGTTAAGATGGGCTAGATCAGAGATTTGAGATAAATTAGATGTTTAATCTGTCATAATTTTTAATTTAATTATTTAGTAAGTAACGGTATGAAATATTTTTTTCTATTAAAAAAGTGAATTTTGAAAAAAATTCAAATATTCTTTTCCATTCAAAAAGTCAATGTTGTTCTTTTTTTTAAAGAAAACAATATACGTAACTTTTGGAATAAAAGTTGTACAATTAATTATGTTTAAATCTTATCAAATATAGCTAATTATTTATCAAACATTTTGCATAATCAACAAATCCAAGAAGTCAAATATTAATCAATCAACTATTCGTTATTTCTTTCATAACTTATAAAGTGCAAAACAGAGCCATCATACAACATGTAGAATATAAAATCAATTACATAGACAAATAAATAGATGAGTACAATGATCGGCACAACAAAAAAATAAGACTACAAAGACAAACAAATGTAGAAAACACAATTATAGAGACAAATTACACGATGAGTATAATGGTCGACATAACACATAATAGAAAATACAATTTCACCACGAGAAAAGTAATATAATTAAGATGGAAGCAACAATTTGAGACCATGAAATTATCTGTTTGATTAAATTTTTGTTACTGATCTTCTCCACCGGAATTGGAGTGTTCGTATCA